TTTCCTGTGGCACTTGGAGCACTTGGAGTGCAGTCATCAACCTCACATCCAGGGCCGGGGAGCTCAGAAGCGCACCCCCAGCGGGCCGGATGATCGGTATCGGGTTGCGGGCAAGAGAGCCCTAGCCCCGGGGGTGCGCGTTCGCAAGAGGAAAGGGCCGTAAAGTAAACACGGTCTCCGTGGCTTGGCTCTGCGCTTTGGGTTTCCCCTAGCTGCGGAAAACGCCCCCTCTACTCGGAGCTAATAGACACCAACGCCGCCTCACTGGGGCTCCTCCCACCCCTCGGTCCTCCCTCCTGTTCGCTTTCCGATGGTCTACATGCGATGATTGCGGAGCCCGCCTTCCCCTCTTATGCTTCTTCGGCCGCGACCCCACTGCCGTCTCGCCTCCCCCGTCTGATCCTGTTGACTCCACCCCCGGCGACCCTGCGCCCGACTCCCCGGGTGAGGGCGGCGGCATTGGGTCATGCCACCTCCCCTCTCCGGGAGGTCGGGCCGGCTCTCCCTGGTCGGCGAGTCGCGCCCGCACCCGCGGCCTCTCTATCGTTCTCGGCTCGCCCTCCCCCTCCTCCGGCTCCTCACTAAGCTCGGGAAGGCGCGGTCCCTCTTGTCGTAGATCACGGCGGTCCAGCCGCCGCCGCGACGGGTCTACCCCCGGTGGGCTCGCACGGCCCGACTCCACTCGCAGAGGCCGAGTCAGCTCGACTCTCTCCTCCCCCGACAGTTGACTCCAGGCCTCACCCGGGGCCCTCCGGCCCCGGCCTTCCGGTCCGCCGGCCGACCCGCTGTCTCTCCACGGCACCACCCCCCCCTCGGGCCCCTCCCCCGGGTACCCCAGCCTCCGACTGGGCGGTTCCGGGCCCCCCAGGCTCCGCGCGGGCCGGAGTGTGGTGACGGCCACGCCGGCGGCGGGGGCACAGCTCGCGTTACAAAACCTTGATTTGACCATTTGCGCAAAAAGGTACATGTCGGTGCCTTCCAGAGGCAGCTGCGACCCCGCCGAGTGGACGGTAACAACACACAGCAGGTGGCGCGGTGTGTTACCGTCCACTCCGCTGGGTCGCAGCTGCCTCTGCGCGTCCTGGGGATGTACCTTTGTCGCGCACCGGAGACGAGACTCGACGCCGCTGAGATCGGAGATCAAGCTCTGACAGGTCGCACGTCGCTCCTTTGACGCCGACGTGACTCACCCGTGCAGATCACATCAGGACACGGTCTCGACGCGCTCGGTACGACGCCTGCGACCCGTCTCGGGGCACGACGCTCATCGCGCCTACCAGCGCTGCCGTACAGCTTGCCACGACGAGGTCGAGCACGCTTCTATACGCTCGCCGAGCCTTCCTTTCCATCCCATTAGGCAGCCTGGGAACGGTGGCGGTCAGAGGCAAAGCCTGCGAGGGGTGGTGGAACCACATGTCACGGCTACTGCCGGCTCGACCCCACGATAGCCTCCGGAGGCTGACTTTGAGGCACCATCATCGGACGATGTCGACGAGTTGGGTCGCTCTCGCGGTAGCCAGATGACCTCTCTTCCTAGGATCATCGGCCATGGCCGCAGGGAGCGCGGGGGAGGGCACTGGAAGCAACACGGAGCTCCGTTGGAGACGTTTTCAAGATTAGCGTGTCGACCGAGTGTCGCGGAGCGAGGAAAAATGGCACTAGCCAAAACTTTAGTTTTAAGCGGGAGGGATGGGCTGAGGACGGCACGGCCGTCACCACACACAGGGATTTTAAGGAGAGGAGTGTGGTGCTAACCGTCGCCCACCCTTGGGCGTCTGTACCCCTGTCGCCTCTCACACACAAGAACGCAGAGCTCGGCGCGCAACTAGCGTGCGGGCAATAGCCAATACCAACTAGCATGCATGTGTGCGACCACAGCCCCCAGAGAGTCCTCGAGCTTCCCCGTACACGTCCCGAGAACGGCCACGCCGGTTTCCCCTCAGCAGCTCCCTACGAGCGCCGGGCCGCCTCCGCCGCCATCCTGGCAGCGGCCG